AATCATTCATCATGACCAAGTGGGGTTCATACCAGGTATGCAAGGATGGTTCAACATTAGAAAAACAATCAATGTAATCCACCACATAAATGAAATGAAGTAAAGGTCCTTCTTCCCTGGTCGACCAGGGTCTTCACAGCCCCCAGCTTTCTGCTTTGACTCAATATATGCCCCGAGTGCCTGCCTCTCTATTAGTCATTCCAAGAGAGAAAGGCCTTGAGCATTCAGAAGGCTAACTCTCTTGTTTTGACCCACTCCCTTATGGGAGTCTAGTGGAAATGAGTTATGTGGGTGATTAAATATGTGCATCCTTCTGGCCTGGGTAAAGTATCTTAGGCTGGACTGGGGTTACCAAGACAATACAAGATAACTTGGTTACCCACTTCTCCCCTTGAGATGTACTCCTATTTCTAATCTACCCTTCCCAGTTATTTTTTACACAAAGACTCTTTCAGAAAATGATAATATCCATATGGCACACTGGGGACATAGGGACGTTGCCATGGTAGAGACCACAGGCCTAGGGCCATAGCTGTAATTAGCCTGTCCACAGTGCACCAGTCAGGAAACTCGTCTGGTCTTCTTCTCAGATAGAACTACTTACACAGGGACCTGCCCTTGGCTACATTCTCTTCATTCCCACTATAGAAAAAGGAGGGGAAGATGAGCCAGGCTTATCCAGAAGCTGAGGTGACATATAGAGTGGGCAGGACAGGGCCTACACAGCCTCTCCCTCCCCAGAATTAGGCCCTCCAAAGCCAGTTGTTGAGTGATCATAGCAGGTTTATGGACAGTTCATCTGTGGTTGTTTTAATAAGAGGGTAGTAGGTGGAGTGGGGAACATCCACAACCCCTTCTGTGCCTGTGGAACATACTCTGGCATATGTAATGTCTGGAGCTCGCCATGTGCCTATCACAGAAGCCTCATCTAAGAACACAAGGATGAAACCCCTGTAGGTGGGCTTCACCTAAGTGCGCTTGATGAGTAAGGGACATCTAACTATGACTCTCTGGGGTCTCAGCCACAGTGGACTAACATGTGGCTTTCTTTTTTCAGCAATGGACAACCTGCAGGAGAGAGCACTACACATCCGAAAAGTTCTCCTGGTCCTGCCCAAACCCACTCTGATCATAATGAGATACCTCTTTGCTTTCCTCAATCAGTGAGTAGCTTTTCTAATGAGCCTTGGCTTTGGCTGCTAGAGGTTTACATAAGGACCCATGTCTATCTGTTCATCCCCACAGATACTTAATAATACTACTGTGTACTAGGCCTGTGATAAGAATTCTGGGCTGTAAGATTACATTGGTAAATTGACATCGTTTAGCTTATGTTCCAGAGAAGGTAAGACAGTAACAGATATGTTAGATAGTAATGAGTGCTTTGGGAGCTGTGGTGGCATAGTGCCTAACACATTTGACTGCTCACCAGAAGGCTGGTGGTTCAAACCTACCAGCCACTCCTTGGAAGGAAGATTGGGTAATCTACTTCTGTAGAGATACTGCCTTAGAAACCCAAGGAGGGGTCACTATGAGTTGGAACCAACTCGACAGCAGTGAGTTTTTTGGTAATGAGTGCTTTAAAGACAAATGAAGAATAAGAAAGCGGAGAGAGAATGTAGAGCCTACATAGGGGCGGGGGGTGAAAGGGAGAGCTCCTTTAGGTGAGTGGTCAGGAAAGGCCTCTCTGAGAAGTGTCTGAGCTGCATTCTAAATGAAGTGAAAGAAGGAGCAGTGGGAATGTTCAAGACCAGAGGATCACGGTAGTGGGTTTGGATTTAAGAAGCAATTGGAAGGTTTTAGAAAGCAGAAGAATGCTGTGGTGTAATTCATATATTTAAAAAAAAAAAAAAAACTTCAGCCCCTGTGTGGAGAATTTACTATAAAGGGTCAGGAAAAGAAGCAGGGAGACCTATTTAGAGGTTTTGTAGTGTCTAGTCCAGAAGCAATGAGGCTTAGACTGGGGTGGTGCTGATGGAGGTGGTGAGGAGCAGTCAGGTTGGGATATGTTTTGAACATAGCATTGACAGGACATGATGATGGGTTGGACGTAGAGTGTGAAAAAAGAGAAAAATTAAGATTGGCTCAATTTTAAGTGTTTGGCATGAACAACAAGGAAACAGTGATGCCATATAAGATGTGGAGGAAGGAATCAAGACAAATTACCAATGTGGACATGCTCATTTGAGCCACCTATTGGGAGCTCTGGTAGCATAGTGCCTAAGGCACTTGACTGCTAACCAGAAAGCTGGCGGTTCAAACTCATCAGCCACTCCTTGGAAGGAAGTTTGGGCAATCTACTTCCGTAGTGATACCACCTCGGAAACCCAAGGAGGGGTCGCTATGAGTTGAGTCTGACTCGATAGCACATAACAACAACAACAACAACAACAGTTGGACATCCAAGTGGAGATTTTAAGTAGGCAGTTGAACATGGGAGTCTGACACTCAGGGAAGAAACCTGGAGTAGGGATATTAGTACAGGGATCATCCATGTGTTGGTGGTATTTAGCTGAGTTAGTGGCTCCTGCCTGAGACCTTTCTGGGGCATATACACCATCATTTAACTCATTGCTGCCCTGCCAAGCTGCAGAGGTTCTAGCTCTGCAGGCTGTCTCTTCTGTATAGTCGTGTCTGCTCCCTGCACAACCTGGGCCCCAACTCAGCATTTCAACTGTCTTTGAGTCAAAAACCCATAATGGCTAACACGGACTGTTCACGTGCAGCCCAGAGTAGGCTGAGGTACTTATGCTTGAGTTGGTCACCTTAGGGCCACCAGTCCTTGTCTCCTCTCATTGACTAATACCTGCCCTCAGAGTAACTCCAGTCATTTCCCCTGAGCAAGTAGTATGACGGTAGTGGGTAAGCAGGTATGGGGGTCAAGTTCCTCCTGGGAGTTACTGTGCGTATAAACACAATGGCCTGATTCTTTTCCCCCCATTTTCATCATGCTAAAAGGACTGCGGAGGGCTAATTACAGGAGGAGAGATAAATAGACTAAGCAATGTGGAGAGCTGGAGATGGCAGCCACTATTGAAAACATGGGTATGGCACCAATTCAAATTATTATTTTCGTTTTGTTTTACTTTTTCTCCTAGTTAAAAAAAAAAAGACTGATTTTCTTATCAAAGTGTTTCACTGAAGGATTCATTTGCTCACCAAAGCAGCATTAATAGTCACATTTCATAAAATAATAAATAAAATACAGGACTCAGGTGGTAAAGAAGACCACCCATGGGCGGCTGCCAGGTGATAAGTGTGCTGACTGATAGGTATAGCTGTAGTTAGCCCATAGCTCCTGGTGAGACTCTGCCTGGGCCCAGATTTTCAGGACCCTTCTTTGTTGCTCTCAGTTCTGGATGTGTGTTTACTCTATTCCTTGATACTGTTTTTTCTTGGGTTGTATGCATCCTCAATCTCAAGGAACCTTTTTTTTTTAAAAAACAACAACAAAAAGCATGTCTGCCCAGCAGGTCTTGTTAACAATTAATCTTTTCCTTTTCAGCATTGATATTATCTATTGCTGTTTATATAACAAATTACTTTTAAACAGTAAACATTTATTACTCATAATTTCTGTAGGCTGAGATTCCTGGGGTAGCTTAGCTGGGGGTCTTGGGCTCAAGGTCTTATAAGCTTGCAGTGAGGGTATTAACCAGGGCTGTAGTCTCATTTGAAGGCTTGACTGGAAGAAGACCTACTTCTAAGTTCACTCACATGGTTATTGGCAGGATTCAATTCCTTATGGGTTATCGGACTAAGGGCCTCAGTTCCTGGCTGACGGTTGGCCAGAGTTTCTTTTTTTTCCTCACATGAGCCTCTCCACAGAGCTGCTCACAACATGTCAGCTGGCTTCCCTCAGAGCAAGCAAGTAAGAGAGCTTCCAAGACCACCGTCTTTTTATAACCTGGTTTCAGAAGTGATATCCCATCACCGCTGCTGCATTCCATTCACCAGAAGTGAGTCATTATCTCTAGTTTACACTCAAGGGGAGTGAATTATGAGTGTGAATACCAGGAAATCACAAAGTCCCTATTAGAGGCTGCCTACCACAGTATGCATAATACCTAGCAAGCTTTTGCCCCCAACAAAGTGTGGGTAGCTCCTCTTCATTGCAGCTGACTCTATGCTTGCCTTTTGAAACCTGATTTTTTCAGATGCCAAACAATATAGTTCTGTAGACTCTTGCTGGAGTCTCAGGGTGGTGCAAACAGTTAACACACTCAGCTGCTGACTGAAATGTTGGAAGTTTGAGTCCACCCAGAGGTGTCTTGGAAGAAGGGCCTGGTGATCTACTTCTGAAAAATCAGTCACTGAAAACTCTGTGGAGCGCAGTTCTACCCTGACACACCTGTGGTCACCATGAATCAGAATTGACTTGATGACACCTGGTTTAGTCTTTTGCTAATCAAGTGAGGTCCATAGACCAGCAGCATGTATAGCATCCAGGAAAGTGTTAGAAATGCAGACTCTTAGGTCTAAGACCTATGAAATCACAAAGTCTTTAGTTTAACAAGACCCCGTGGTAAGTCACATGGATAGCAAAGTCTGAAAGCGTCACTGTAGGTCCTTACATTTTGTACCCAATCTGAAAGAGTGAATCAGTCATGCCTGTCTCATGATTAACACTACCTAACTGTACTCCAGAAAAGCTGAGCCTTCCTCTAAACCTTACCAATTTCCAAATGCCTCCTGGTTTGGAAGGAGTCTGTGTGGACCCTTCTTACTTTCACAAGGAGCAAGCATTTGGCTCCTAAATACAGCTGGACAAGTAGAAGTGTATCTGGATTGTCTTGGAAACTCACTGATGCTCCTGTATGTATCCATTCACTTATTTAACACATATTTATTAAGCATCTTTTTTAACCTATCAGCCGCCCCAAGAGAGAAAAGACCTGGTAATCTGCTCCTCTAAAGCCTAGGAAACCTTATGGGACAATTCTACTCTGTCCTATAGGGTTGCTATGAGTTGGAATTAACTCTACGGCGTACATGAACAATAATAATGTGCCAGGCCTTTGTAGATGCTGGCTATATCATAGCATACCAAACGGTCAAGGTCTCTGTCCTCATGTAGGTTACATGCTGCTGGGGGAAGACAGACAAAATAAATCAGTACATATAAAATATATCAGAGGATAAGTGCTGTAGAGAAAAACAAAGCAGATAAGGTGTTTGGAGAATGCCACAGGTAAGAATGAGGGTTTACTCTTTAATATGCAGTTGTCAGAGGAGACCTCACTGAGGTGACAGTGGCAGCAAGCTAGGAGGAAAACCAAGAGACAATAGTGCCCCAGAAACCATGTGGAGAAAGTGTTTCAAAGGAGACCAGTCCTTGAGTTATAGGCTCTGACAGATCAACTAAGAAAAAGACTGAGAATTGACCGAGCAGGATGGGTATCATTGTGGCCTTGATGAGTGCTGCTTTGGTGGAGTTGTTGTTGTTGTTGTTTGCCGTCGAGTCGGCCCCGACTCATAGCGACCCCACCTTGGGTTTCCGAGGCAGTATCACTACGGAAGTAGGATTGCCCAACCTTCCTTCCGAGGAGTAGGAGGGCAAAATCCTGGGGCGTAGGTTTAAAAGAGAAGAGATGGAGAAGAATTGGAGATGGCAGATGCAGACCAGTCTTTCAAGGAATTTTATTATAAAGAAGAGCAGAGTAATCCCCACAGTAACTGGGTGGGGATATAGAGCTAGGATGAGAATTTTCTTTTAAGATGGAAGGAATTACTGCATGTTTGTATACCAGTGGGAATGATCAGAGAAAAAATTTTTAAAGTTGATGATGGAGGAAAGGGTAAGGACAGTTGCTTGAATAATATTCTGGAAGAGGTGGAAAACTGAAAGTCCCACTGCCATTGAGTCAATTCCGACTCATAATGACCCTTTCAGACAGTGTAGAACTGCCCCGTAGGGTTTCCAAGGCTGTTAATATTTACAGAAGCAGAGTGCCTCATCTTTCTCCCACAAAGCAGCTGGTGGGTTTATCAGCAAAATGTCTTAGCCACTGTGCCACCAGAGCTCCTAGAAGAAGTAAGAGAGGGTGGAATTTACTGCACAGGAAGGAAGGCAAAACACAAGAGTTAATAGGTGTGGGGATCATGGAACATGAATGAAGGTGACATTATGGGTAAAGGGAGTCAGGGAATGCCTTTGAAAGACCATCTGAAAGAATCCGTGAGAATTATCTTTCACTTCTTGTCTCTCAGCCCTTCGGGGATGTCCATGGAAGGCTGTGATAGCATAGATCTATAGAGGGAAGTTGTGATTTCTCCTATCAGGAAAGCCTTTAAAGGCCTGCTGGTTTCTCATCTGTAGGTTTTGACTGGGGTTTTGGTGAATAATATAATTTTCCTTTATCTTTCAAACCTCAGATCAACTCTGATGCATAACATCTTACCCATAGTCTATTGGTTGTTGCCAAAGCAAACCCCTGGGGCCTATGAAGTTGAAAGTTTGTGAGTGAAATGTCATGTATTTAAAACAGTCTGTCCAAAGCTTAGTGCTCTGCTCTGCTTGAGGAGTTGCGGTTTTGACTTTGGGATCTAGAGCCCTTAGTTTATTAGACAGTGCCTGCCAGGGGGTAAAAAAGATAGGTAGATTCCTGTAAATTAATCACTGCCAGATGTTGGCAGCCCCGCCTTCCATTTCCTGCTTAGAATCAAGGATCTGGTAACGAGAAGCAATCAGGATATTATAATTACAGGAAAAAATAAATTCACCACCACCACCTACGTGCCAGGCACTGTGCTTAATGCTTTATATACATAATCTCATTTAATCCTCAAAACAGCCCTGTAAAGGAGACACTCTTATTGCATCCATTTTGCAATGGAAAAGTTAGAGAAGCGGAACAGTCATGGAACTAATAAGCACTGGAGCTAGGACTCAAAACCAGGTCTGTTTAACTCTAAAATTCTTGGAATGTTTTTGTTTTTTTCTCATTTAATCAAAGAAGCAGAGATGCATCATTGAAAATTTAAAAGTCCAAAAAAGTACATGATGAAAAACAAGTTTTCCACCCTATTCTTCATTGTCTCATTCCCCCCAAAAAACCCTGTACTCCTACAACTACCAAAAACCCAAACCCACTGCCATCAAGTCGATTCAGACTCATAGCAGCCCTATGTGCAGAACATTTTTAGGATGCATAAAAGATGATTATTCAAAGCAATTAGGAGAATAAAATAGAGTACAAGTCTCAGAGGAGATTGTATGTAAATAAGTCAACACCAAAAAAAATTTTTTTAAAGAGGAAACTGTTACAAATATATACACTACAAACATTTCTTTAAAAATAAAAATCCAGTGTTGAGGTCTTATATTGGATATAACCTTCAGGGTCTTTAAGGGTTATTAACACCATGACATTTTATACAAAATTATGTGCATTTATATGTGCACATACAAGAATTTTTCTAGGGAGAGAATTCCCAATATCTGTCAGATTCTTGAAGGAGCCTGTGGTCTCCAAATAGTTAAATACCACTGCTTTGGCCCCTATACTTTGGTATTCCCATTGTAGATTGGAAGAGAAAAGAGGATTTTGGTCTATATTTTGATGAGAGTAAGGAAATGGACTTCAGCCCATGAGACCACAGGTCATGAAGCTGTGTCCTCCTCCAAGTGCTGGTGATTGTAACCACCAAGGAATTGACAGTCCTTACCTTCATAGGCTTGACAAGATTTCTTATCTTCCACTAAATTTTTAGTTGGGTGTCTCAGGGCTAGAGTTTTGTTTCCCTTTGACTATCAGGCTTCCCAGAAATTGCTGGTTTTCTTCCGTGTTACCAAAACATTGTCAGATCACATTAAAGAAATAGGGTCATCCTCCATTCTTGGCCCTCCATGGTATTAAAAAAAAAAAAAAAACTCACTGCTGTCAAGTTGGGCCCGACTCATAGCTACCCCTCCTTGGATTTCCGAGGCGGTATCGCTATAGAAGTGATTGCCCAACCTTCTTTCTGAGGAGTGGCTGGTGGGTTTGAACCGTCAGCTTTCTGGTTAGCAGTCCTATGTCTTAGGTACTACACTACCAGAGCTCCCTCCATGGTACTAGGAGTTGGCTAATCTGGCATTAGCCAAAACTGTAGCCTTGTAGCACCTTATGCCTCAGTTGTCCCTCATGAGGTTACCAAAGTCATTATCTCTCTTTTCTCTCTCCAGTTTTAATTTGACCAAGGAATCCCCTTGGAAACTTCCCCCAGCCTTAGTAAAATCACTGCTCCCATTGAACTCAGGAGCCAGGGATAGCTTGTAAAATTCAGTCTTTATGAAACCTGTGAAGCAGCCCAGCCACTGAGCTCTATGACCTCACCCATCACAGGCCTCTCCTACACTTGATTCTAGGTCCTATAGAGCAGTGATTCTCAACCCTTTTTCTTTGTGACAGTTGTTCACATGCATCATACCACTACTCAGTCCCTGCAATGATTGTCTAGGGACAACAGGATACATATCAGAATCTCCAATGAAGGAGAAGACCACTGAGTTGGAGAGAGATTAGCTCGGTAATTTGAGCCTGGATTTGAAGTACACTAGAAATAAATTCTGCCCAATTCTGAAAAACAGCCACTTAGGTAAAGGCTGCTGAGTCACTTCTAGTTAAGGATCAAAAGGCTTTGAGTTCTTCTCAAGGTCTGTTAGAATCAGGTGCTGAGGACTCTGTGCTGGTGTCCATGAGCAGGGTATAACTCCTTAGCAAAGCTGACAGTTCTGAGGCCAGGTGGGAGAAAATATCTAGAGCTGACCCAGCCTTCAGTGCCTGGACAGGCAGGGACCAATGGGGACTCAGCTGGTATAGTGGCTTATTGAGAGGTTTGGGACCTATGCCAGGTTGGAGATTTGGCTGAAACATCTGCTAGCTGAGAAGGAGGAGTTCCCAGGATAAATAAATACCCAGTAATGAAGTTAGTCTACATCCAGAGGAAGCCTGAGCAGAAGCTAAACAGCAAGCTGACCTTTTCCTGAATAAATCTTCCATGTAGCAATAGAGGAGGATATTATAAGAATGGAAACCAACTGCATTAGCTATTCAGAAGGAAATTCACTGCCTTGATAGAATACAAGAGCTAATTGGTTGGCTATTTCTTTTCTTAATAGGTCTAGAGCCTAGAATGGAAATTCTCTAATTTTGGTATGAAAGAAAATGCACAATACATAGTGCCTGTGTCCTCTGACCATATAATTACCAGAGCAGCCTGAGGGTCTCCGTCTGCTCCATCAGCTTAGTAGATTGGTCTGTGGGAGCCTGTCCAGCTCTGCAGAGTGGATTTGGCTGATAAGGTCCCAGGTGGGGTGGTAAGTAGGATTTGAAAGGAGAGCTGGAGAAAGGAGAGAGGTCAGAGCTGCAAGGAGATGACTCTGCTCCTTTCTCACCAGGATGGAATGTTCTAGGCACCTCCACTTTGCCTTTCCTTGGCACCCAAATGACCGTCACGGTTGTCATTCCCTTCTCCCCCGCTCTGCTTTCTGGAAGGACTCGCATGTCCGGGAAGGCAGGTGGCAATTTGTGGACCTTCTGCTTTTGCTCTTGGCAGTGCCTCCTGTGATTGTATTTTCTGGGCATTCATGCAAGTGCTCTCCAGCTTGCCCCCTTTCCCTTCTCCTCCAGTTTATCACAGTTCAGTGAAGAGAACATGATGGACCCCTACAACCTCGCCATCTGCTTCGGGCCCTCGCTGATGTCAGTGCCGGAGGGCCACGACCAGGTGTCCTGCCAAGCCCACGTGAATGAGCTGATCAAAACCATCATCATCCAGCATGAGAACATCTTCCAAAACGCCAGGGAGCTGGAGGGTCCCATCTACAGCAGAGGGGGAAGCATGGAGGATTATTGGTAAGGGGCTCAGGGCTAGAGGAGGGGAGGGAGTCACCAACACACTGACACAGGGGCCAGATGGCTAATAGAAAACCAAAGAAAAGACCAAGATCCTCCCAGCCTCCCACTTACAGGCTTTTCAGGCTGCCAAGATTTGAGGGTGGTACAGGCAGTCCCCACCTTGACTCAACCAACAGAGCTAGTATCTCTCTTCATGCCACCTCCCTTTTTTCTGAGTTCTGAGTGGTGAGGGACCATTCTCAAAGATGATGGCAATAGCAATAATAGTAACATTAATAATCTCAAAGAGAGAAAAATCTCTAAAGTTGTTTAAGGAACTGCTGTTCATCAGTCGACAGTATCTCATACCCTGCTGTGTGCTGTGTACTGAGAGAAGCAGTCCTCGGTCCCAGGGGAAAACTCAGATATGAGGCATCATTTCCTGACTATGAGTTTGTAAGATGGTAGTTTAGAATGACTTCAGACATTTGGGAAGAAGAAGGATAAGCTCTGTTTCCAGCAGATTAGGCAGAGTCCCACTCTGAAATGGGACACATTCTATGGGGCAAGGTTTGTCATGACTGTAGCCGGGGAATGGAGATCTAAAAGGAATCCCTAGAGTACATCTTTGCTCTACTAATTCACTGTTTTCATTTTACAGTTGAAGTCACTGCAACCCAGAGAGGCCAGTGACATCATCTTTCAGGCCACCGCAGTGGCAGGGATTCAATCCTGATCTCATCTCTTAGTACAGGACACCATCCACTACCCCACACAGCCTCCCAGGTTACCACCTACAGTGTCATTTTCCCACTAATCACAAAGACAACTGCTTCTCTCCTCTGCTCCCTCCTCCACTGCTCTCCCCCTAAATGATGGTTCAGCTCAAACTGGAAGCATAAGCCAGCCCAAATCGGATTCTGTCTGAGTTCATCTGAATTCAACATCTGGAACCAATTCTGCCATATTCCCTGTAGCTATTGACTGAGGTCAGGGAGGACAGGGGAGGTTGTTTACTTAATTAGAAGCCAATTGGTCCATGCTTCTCCCCGACCCCTACAGAAGGAGCCTCCTGCCCAAGGAGTAAAGAAAATGATATTCATGTGTCTGTGAACATAACATCAGTCAGATCCTTGGCTTTACTCTTCTCTGCTACATTGCACATCCTAGCACCTGGGTCAGTGTTGGAAAAACATAGGCTTGTCAGCTTGGAGAGAAAGGATTTTGTCATTGACAGATGGTAGGGGGTAACTGGGGAGTAGTTGTCAGCCTCCTAGCTGATAAGCTCCAGGGAACTGAACTTACACATGTGACCAGAGAGTTGTTTTTCCCCCTTGCATGAATGATTGGATTAATGAGAAGCTTTGGAATAATGATCCCAATTCCTACTTTATCTTTCTTCTAAAGTTGCCCAGAAACTCTACTGCCTTCATTGCCCAAATATCCAACTGCAGGCTCCAGGCTATTCCATAGGATCGAGAGCCCCCACAGCCCTGCTCACCAGTCCCAGCCCAGTGGCACAGGTAGCATCCCAAAGGGGTGTGACCCATATAGGCAGAGAAAAGTGGGCACCTTTCTCCAGTTTTCTCCAAAGTGCCTTCCCCAGGCCACTGTGTTTGTTGTGCATCAGGCACTTCTTTGCAGTCTTTGGGAACACCACAAGATTAGTCAGGGAACCTTACAACCACAGCCTGGTGGGAGGTGTCTGGGCCTCAGGCCAGAAGCACACAAGGATCAAGAGTCAGTGACCTTGGGATGAGTGGACTGTCTGACCACTGTATTCACACCCCGTCTGAAGGCTTCCATACTCTCCCCTCCCTTGGAAAGAGAGAAAAATGCCAGTGAAGTGAGTAAGACCAATGAAGGAGGTGAGAGAAGGGTAACAAGAGCCCTGGAGAATGACCAGAACAGCCAGGGAAGGGGAGCTCCAGCTGCTTGGCCTCCCTGCAGCGGTGGAGAGGAGAGGCAAATCCCATTTCACCACCCTTACCAGCCCCAACAACCTTCCTGAGACTGGAACTTGGTTTTCTAGGACTGCCTACGTGTGATGAGGTGGTCTTCTGAGAGCTCAGATGTTGGTGGGCCTGCAGTGTGTTATTGAGGGTGTGGTTGTGGAACGAAGAAGCGTAGGGTTTTAGAGTTAGAAAGGGCCTTAAAGATGGTCATATTACCTTTGTTGTTGTTGTTACGTACCGTCGAATCGGACTCAACTCGTAACGACCCCTCCTTGGGTTTCTGAGGTGGTATCACTACGGAAGTAGATAGCCCCGTCTTCCTTCCAAGGAGTGGCTGGTGGGTTTGAACTGCCAGCCTTCTGGTTAGCAGTCAAGTGCCTTAGGCACTACACTACCAGAGCTCCTTAGAGCAGTGGTTTTCAAAGTAGAGTCCCTGGACCAGCAGCACCTGCATCACATACTTCTTACAGATGCAAATTCTTGGGCTTCACACCTACCTACTGACTCAAAAACACCAGGGTAGAATAATCTGACTTTTTCAGAAGCCCTCCAGGGGATTCTAATGTTCCCAGAAGTTTGAGAAATGGTGTTCTGGTGGATGGCCATGTAAACTAACTCACAGACCTTAGGAAAAACAAGCCCTTGCCTTGTATATTCTGAGCATCTGAGGGTTTCTAGACTGTCACCAGTCTCATCAGAGGGTTTTCAGGCCCAGGAAACAATCAAAAATTGTGTCCATGTTTTCTGATAAAGAGGAATCCCTACTGATGTTCTTCCAGAATGTTCTCTGGCATCTGGGAAACCTTGGAACTGCCTTAGTCTACATGGAGTGCCTTCTAAACTGGTCACTTGGTCTTTGAGGAACTTCCTAGGACTGTGTGATCCATCGCACGGGGAGGGAGAGGCTACAATGCTCAAGAGTAGAAGCAGCGAGGCGTAAGGGTTTAAGGAGGTGGTAGTATTTCCATAGGACTGCCTAGAAAGACTCACTTGTTACTACCTGCTGCCTGAGAAGGGAACTTTAGAAATGAAGAGGGTTTTCTCAGGAAATAAGATTTTCCTGGTGCCCATCCCCATGTTTTCTAATGTGTATGAGCCAGGACAGCAAAAGGAGAAACCACTTTCCTAATAACTTCCCAGGCAATCCACAGTTCCCTACCCTGGTTGTTTTCAGATTCCATGCATTTTATTTTTTCAAGAACTTGACCCAGCTTTTAACCCCTGCTCTCTTGTGGAGTCTAGCCCACAGCAGATGCCTCTTCCCCTATCTTATTTCCACCCAGCCCTCTGACTCACCTCCCACTTTCTCACCAGTAGAGAGACCAGACCACAAAGCAACCTTGAGGCATCAAGCAAAATGAGGAAGAAAGAAAAGAAGTACCACTTTAAGGACTCCCTTTGTGCCGAACTCTTTACTAAATTATTTCATCGTATCCTCACACAACTCTGTGAAACATATAGATCATTATCTTTAATTTGTACATTAGACAGTTGAAACTTAAAGAGGTTAAGAAACTGCTCCAGCGTCACATAGCCACCAAGTGTCGGGGTTTTCAGATCCAGTTGTGTCTGATGCTTAAGCCTGTTGTTTCCCTCCCACCGTATTTTCTTCTTGAGAATAGGGATCCTGCATAATTCACATAGACAGCCAGCCCTTCAGGAGTTGAGTTGTTCTATGTTTTCTAAAGAATTTACTCTGTAAGTTCAAAGAGGCTTTCCTTTCTCTCAAGATAGTCTTAAGTCCCAAGTAGTTTCAAGTCGTTTTATACCAAGAACTACACTAGAGAACCTCTGGAGCCTTCTGTTTCATCATGAGCACTTGTTTGTTGTGTGTAACTAGGGTACTGAGAGTATAAGATTGCTTCCATGCCCTTATATGAAGGGGAAGACAAAAATTCCCTAAGTCAAAGCCTGATGTCCTGGTCACTCTTGCTTCTGTTGCAGTGATAGCCCTCATGGAGAGACTACCTCGGCTGAAGACTCAACGCAGGACGTGACTGCAGAGCACCACATGAGCGATGACGGTATGAGGCCCTGTTTCCTGGTCAGTGGGGCCATCAGAGATGAAGCAGAAGAAGCGGTTATATATCCTGCACTCCAACCCAGCAGTGCCTTTAGGACAGGCAGAGGGCTCAATAACCCCTCACTTTCATTCCTTCCCTTCCTTGGAGAGAGAGCCCACCTTCTCAAATAGTTCGAGAACGGTCCCCGTTTTAAACTAGAATTTAATACCTCTGGTAGCTCTTCACTCTTCTTGCTCCAACTGCCTGCCACTCATTCACCTCCTAGCTCCTTGCCTGGCCTGAGACCAGCATGACTCCCAGTGCCCTGTCACAGCCCAGACTCCTGCAGGTAGTTGGAGAATAAAGCCAAGGAGAGTTCATTTGAGAAACAGTTAGCCTGGGGAATAGAGAAGCTCGATGCCAAGAGCCTCACAGAAGCAAGCCAGGGGGAAGCAGGAATCATAATGCAGAAACCACACACTTTCACGCCTGCCGACTGGAAAAATTGACCCTTTCCAAAGCACAGCGCTGGGAGTGCTGAGCAGCCTGGCCGGTGTGCATCAAGAGGTAGAATGCTCAGCTGTCATCCGCAGGCCCCTCGGCAGTGCCCATGATTTATTAGGGTCTGTCCAGCCAGCATATTTTCCCTCCTCCTAACAGTTCCCACCTCCATTCCTGGATCACTTGGGCTCTGGAAGTCTCAGCAGCTGACAAGGGGCCTCAGAAATTTCTGGGCACCAGAACAAATGGCGTAGTCTGTGGAGCTTTCCCTACCTTGCTGTGAATTCTGCAATCCCAGACCAGCTTTTATAAAGGAGAGAAAAATCAAGACTGCCTATTTAAATCCTGATGTCAGAAGGATCATTCTGATCATTTACCAACTTATTGAAGGGGGAGTAGGTGAACTTGGGAAATTAGCATTTGGTTAGGGCCTACCTTGTGCCCAGAACTGTTTTGTTGTGTATATATCTTACATCTTAATGATCACAATGCCTAGTTTAAGATGACCCAAAAGATAAGACCTCTGTTTTATGGTTGAGAAGAAATGAAATTCAGAAAAGTCAAGTCACAGACCCAAAGTTGAACTGAACGGAGGTTGGGATATTTAAACAGGCCTCAGAAGCTCGGAGTTTTCCCCACTTCTGTGGTCTGCTCCTGTTGTAAAGTCCACCCCTGCTGATTCAGGGAGCAGAGCCACCAGCCTGGGCTGTCTGAGCATGGTCTTGTTTGTAAGCAGGCTTTCTACTACCTGAAAAGTCCTTTGGGCAAACTTAAACAATGTGCTACTGTTACACACTGGACATTTTACCAGTAGTAGTCCACTACACTCTGGTAGCATAGTGGCTAAGACACTTACCTGCTAACCAGACGGCTGGCGGTTCAAACCCACCAGCCACTCCTCGGAAGGAAGGTTGGGCAATCCTACTTCCGTAGTGATACTGCCTCGGAAACCCAAGGAGGAGTCGCTATGAGTCGGGGCCGACTCGACGGCACATAACAACAACAACAGTCCACTACACTACTTTTTTTTTTTCCCCATGGACTACATGCTGGAGCCCAGGTTAACTCTCTGCTTTCTGCCTCCACCTAGAAGACATAATGGTAATAACAATAACAATAAATGATACTTACATAGCACTTACTATGTGCCAGTCACTGTTCTAAGCACTTTCGAAAATTGATAATTAGTTGACTCCTAATAACAGTATCTGGTGGCATACCGCCTAAGACTGCTAACCAGAAGGCCGGCAGTTCAAACCCACCAGCCACTCCTCAGAAGGAAGATTGGGCAATCTACTTCCATAGCGATACATCTCAGAAACCCAAGGAGGGGTGGCTGTGAATCAGGTCCTACTTGACAGCAGTGAGTTTGGGTTTTTTTGGTTAATAACAGTATCATGAGATAGACACTCTTGTTATTTCCATTTTACAGAAACACACACAAAAGTAAAGATATATTGCATTTTAATATTTCATATCACTTCCATGCATATATACATGACTGTGAGACCAGAAGAACTAGATGGTACCAGTACCAGTGATAGCCACTCAGAGAGGGATCAAAAGTGAAGATCCTAGATACAGAAGGAGAGAAATGTGGAATAAAACTCAAAATCTTAAAAAAAAAAAAAAAAAAAAGACCAGAATTACTGATCTAATAGAGACTGATGAAACCCCGAGACCAAGGCCCTTAATTACCCTTCAGGCCTGAAATTGAACTCACTCTTATGGCTTAACTTCCAGCTGAACAATAGACAGGCCTACGAAATAAACCACTCAGGAGCTCTGGTAGCATAGTGGCTAAGGCACTTGACTGCTCACCAGAAGGCTGGCAGTTCAAACCCACCAGCCACTCCTCGGAAGGAAGGTTGGGCAATCCTACTTCTGTAGTGATACTGCCTCGGAAACCCAAGGAGGGGTTGCTATGAGTCAGGGCCGACTCGACGGCAAACAACAACAACAACAACAACAACAAATGAAATAAACCATTACACTGGGTAGTTAAGCTCCTTAGAACAGTCAGCCATGGGAGATCAGAAGGGGAGCATATGTGCAGGGAGAAAGCTCAGAGGCCAGGAATGCATAGGAAAGAAAGACACAGGAAAAAGTAACCATAGGGAAGAAGTGAGAAGAAAGGTGTCACGTTGTAGGGATTGCAGTCAATGTCATGACACAAAATGTATGTGAACTGTTGAATGGAAAATGAATTGCTCTGTAAACTTTTACCCAAATCACCCAATTAAAAAAAAAAAAAAAAAGATTCCAGCCTAGGAAACTCTAGAGGGCAATTCCACCCTGTCCTATATACAGTCTCTGTGAAGTGTAATCACCTCAGCGGCACACTACATGGTAGCATGTATTCATTAGCTGCAGGCAACTGCAGTGAGGTTGCAAGTAAGGCTAGGGGAAAAGTCAGGGAAGACTTCACGGAGGAAAGGATAAATTATTCTGGATCTTAAAAGATCAGGTAGAGTTTCCAGGTGAATGGGGCCTAGCAAGACAGAGAATGAAAGGTATTCCAGGTAGAAGAACTGACACAGGAAAGGCATAAACACATGCCACATTTAGGGAATGCCAGCTAGTACCTTAGTGTGGCCAAGGTGAGAGGAACAGCAAAAATGAGGGCAGAAAGGTGAGTTTGTGCATCATACTGAGTTTAGATTTTCCATATGATTCTATGAAATTGCTAATGTGCCAGCAACATCTATGAGAATCAACATGCTGATTTTTTTCATTGCCAGAGTGAGGAAGGAGAAAATAATTTCCATGCATATTTTTCCATGTATTAGTCACATGATATGTTTCCCTATCTCACTCTTAGAAAAGTTGAGCAAATTATCTTTTCTTTATAAAGACTAAAAGCTCATGTTCTACTGGGGAAATGGACAAATAAATAAAATATAATATGATATATTTTCTGTATTTAATAGAGTTGTTTTATAATCAGAAAAGAGATAATACCGAAAATTGAGTATGGCAAGTACAATGATAGGTGCAGGTATGCAGAACTGTGGAAATACCAAAGAAGTTACTATAGAAAGTAGATGGTATTTGTGTTTCATCAGCCAGATACGGGAGAGGGCACTACAGGGAGAAGGATCATCATGAGCAAGAGCAGGGAAGAGGACACAGCTGCATTCAGGGCAGTGGCACACTCCACACAGGAATTACCTGCTCCATAGATCCTCCATGGCTTATTTTTCATACTGGGCCATCTGCTCATCACTCTAAGTTCATTTGCTTGGGCTTTTCCACCTAGTTTCCTGAGTCTGTGGGTTCCAATAATGTGTTTCCTTCTTTTCCACCCCTCCCAGAGTGTGAGCCCATTGAGGCCATTGCCAAGTTTGACTACGTGGGCCGGACAGCCCGAGAGCTATCCTTCAAGAAGGGGGCATCCCTGCTGCTGTACCAGCGGGCTTCTGATGACTGGTGGGAAGGCCGGCACAATGGCATTGATGGACTCATCCCCCATCAGTACATCGTGGTCCAAGACACGTACGTTGGGCCCTTGCCACCTTTAGGGGTCACTGGCTGGACTGTAGGAGTGAGACTTCATTTCTGGAATGTAGGAGTATGTGGGAGACCAACCTCTAGGGGGCACCAACAAAGTCCTGAGGCTCCACACAGTTTCTCAATGTTGTTGTTGTTGTTGTTTTGCCGTCGAGTCGGCCCCGACTCATAGCGATCCCTCCTTGGGTTTCTGAGGCAGTATCACTACGGAAGTAGGATTGCCCAACCTTCCTTCTGAGGATCAATGGAGAATTGTTTTTTCAATCTATCCATCCTCTGTCTTCCCTGCAAACCACTCCCTGACCTAGTTATCTTAGAAACTTGCACTCATCCACATTTATACCTGATGAGTGATAATGTATGGTTATTATCTGACCACCTACATTCCCTTTCTGGAAAGATCTGGTTGGGGAAAACATTTTTTGCTACTCTTTCTTTCATTTTTTTTTTTTTTAAACTATGATGCTTACCCCAACCATTTGAGCCGCTGATGGTTCTTCCCCACTTGCAAATGAGACTAATGAGCTATATCTCTTGGAGAAATCTAGCTTAAGCAGCCTTGTGGAAATGACCCAGTTTAGTTAACTTAATGCAGATGAGGTTGATTCAGGGAAAGATGGGAGAGAGGAGGGGAAGGGATATCGGGGAACAATCCAAGCCTGAACGGGTCCCAGAGGCATTTCAGCAGATGGGATTTCTGTTGGCTCCCACACTTTTGAAGCAATGTCTCCTAAGCAGAAGGCTGTTTCCCTGTTGCCCAACCCAAGCCTGCATCCCTGCCCCGACTCCCTCCCCTTGGATACCGTGCTGTCAGTGTTTTTAGTCCTTCCCTTAATATTATTTTTTAAAGGTTGATATCCTGAATGAGTCTGCACCCTCCCAGCCTCTCCCCAGCTCGTTCTGCAGGGAGATCCTCCCTCTGTTGATAACATCACAAGCCTGGTGGCGATCTGTGCATGGACAGGAGACCCTCCCCAGTTTAGCATTATGACTTCACTACGGGATCGAGAGAAGATGAATTGTGGGGGAGAAGGGGCTTTCTTTGTCATCAGTAGCCAGAGGGGCCAGGAGAGCAGTGGAGAGACCTGGACCGGCTTGGAAGCTCTAAGTGGGGCTCAATGCACTACGACTGAGTATGGCGGTGTCCTGCCTCAACGCTGGCCTCTCCAGAGCCGCCACAGAGCTGACTGTCCTTACCCTCAGCAGTGCTCAGGACCTCAGCGATAAACAGCAGCCTGGACTTGCCACCTCCTTCTCCAGGAGGGTGTCCCAGCACAGCCACCCCAGGAAAGCAGCGTGGGGTGGAAGGCAGATGCCTCGAATCCACGTGCCCCTTAGCCAAGCTTTCCTGAGGAGCTGAGGAGCCTGCAGTGCCCAACTGGATTATTTATTTTTATTTAAACAACCGTCCAAAAGCCCTTAGGTTTCCTCACCTCTCTGCTCACAGAGCCAGCCCAGCCAGGTGTCGCTGTTGCCTCAGAGCCATGTAGGGTTGTGTGTGTGGGGGGCCATCTTGCCAGCGATTTAACGCTGCTTTTTGTGTTGTTTTCCCTCTTCCCTGCCTGCCTGCCCCTTCTCCCCCAGCGAGGACGGTGTCGTGGAGAGGTCCAGCCCCAAGTCTGAGATTGAGGTCATTTCTGAGCCACCTGAAGAAAAGGTGACAGCCAGAGCGGGGGCCAGCTGTCCCAGTGGGGGTCATGTAGCCGATATTTATCTTGCAAACATCAACAAGTAAGCGCTGCTTTTCATTTTCTGCTCCCCTGAATGACTTGCCACACCCAGCTTCACCCTCTGGCCTAACCCCACTCCATCTCTGTGCTGCACTCAGGGCTCCCAGCTCCCCCAGCCTAACACTCTGTGTGACAGGGCTGAGGAACTTCTGCAGGCCTCCTGAGCAGGTCTAGATCTTCAGCTAGCTGCCATCATGCTGAGGAAGGGTGCTCTTCACCATGTTGCTGCAGTGTCTGTCAGCTCAGATCTTGAGGGCAATCCTGTGGCTGAAACTTTGGCCAAAGCTTTTGGTCCTTTTATGCAACTCAGTTTCAAACTATTCCTCAGAGGTGCTTCCTCTTTTCCAGTTCTTACTCAAACCAGTCTCTGATATCCCCCTTGCCTCTTGTCTGTCCAAAGATCCCAAGTCTCATGTGTCTTCCACTAGGCTACTGTTACTCTAAACCAAAAAAAGGAAAGAAAAACAAACCCACTGTTGTGGGGTCGATTCCAACTCATACCAACCCTATAGGACAGAGCAGAACTGCCCCATAGGGTTTCCAAGACTGTAAATCTTTACGGAAGCAGACTGCCACATCTTTCTCCTGCAGTACTATGACCCCGGGTGGGTTTATTTCAATATTATGTGTCTTTTTCTCCCCTTGTCCTGCATCTACTCCTGGAGGAAAGGAAACCAGTATGCTCCAAGGGAGAGATTTTTCCAGAGCTCTTTCCTCATTGCCTAACCCCTAGCTCCTTTTTATTCTACCCTTCCATACCGGTAGAACTGTCCTTTTTTAAAAAAATTTTTTTCTATTGCTTTAGTCCTGTGTATTATTGTGCCCTCTCCAGTCCCTTTGCAGCCCCCAGTCCTGTCCAGCAGGCTCTTAACTCTGACCTCCAGCTTTCATTGTGGCTTTTAGCAACACCATGAGTTTTCACTCCACCCACACCCCATCTGGCTGTCTAGAGGTTCCATGCCTGTGTGCTGCTGCTTCCCCTAGAGACGTTCAGGTTATTGGAGAACAAATCTCATCTCAAGGGGCCAGACACCAAGCCCCAAAGCCTACAGACCTCTTTCCGCCAGACCCTGAAACTTGGCCCACTGCCAGAGGATGACAAGCCCCAGGGCACTCCTGATGAATATGGATCGGAGATGATGTACAGTTTTTATTCCCCTCTGGCTTTGGAGGAATGAAGCGATTTGCACATTGAAAACCTGTTAACCGTAGCCTCTGGACACTGAAACTGGAAGGAGAATAAAAGATGCTTGTTGTTTTGAAACCCCACCAGGTTGCCCAGATCTCTTGGTTTTTTTCCAACCAGGCGGTAAAAGGGGGCGTGGTTGGGGCTCGTGGCTGTTTTCCATCCTTTTCAAGCTCAAGTAAGTGAGGTCGCTTATTCAGCTCACTTAATTCAGTGTAGTTATAATTTCAGTCAGGCCAGTAAAAAAAAAAACAAGACGATTTTATTTCTTTTCCTCCTTTGTACTGCCCTGCTGGGAGGGCAAGCTAGTAAGAAATAACTGGCTAATCACAACTTTTTTTTCCCCACTTGTTTACAAGTCTATGTTAATTATAAGCCTGTAATCACAAGATTGGAAGCTATAATTAACCCAGAAACCAAGGCTGGGCTGGTGAAGGGAGAGTGAGATAATTAGTAAGGCATTTGACTGCTAACCAGAAGGCTGGAGGTTCAAACCCACCAGCCACTCCTCGGAAGAAAGGTTGGGCAGTCTACTTCCATAGTAATACTGCCTCGGAAACCCAAGGAGGGGTCGCTATGAGTCGGATCCGACTCCACGGCAGTGAGTTCGGTTTTTGGTATATAGCTGATGCTGTTTGTACAAAGGAGTTGTACAGCGCAATAGATGAAATAGTCAAAAGATGAACATCTGGTAGAAAATCAAGGCAGTTCCCATGAATTCCTTGCTTGATGGTGTCAGGATTCTCGCAATGGGATCCTTGGAAGATGAGCCTTCTTCACTACAGCCTCTTCAGACTCCAGCTTGGAGGTGGGATAGTGGCAGCCTTTGGGCCATCTTTGCCCTCAGGCGTGAGTCTGCCTTTTAGCCTTCCCACCCACCACCACATACCACTCCCCGCAAGCTCCTTCAGTTTCCTGAAGGCAATGTGTTCTCTCTCACCTCTGGGCCTCCACTTTTGCTGACTGGGCCATTCCTCCTCTTCAAGACTCCAGCCAAAGATGGGCCTCCTTGGGCAAGCCTTTCTGATACCCCTGTGTTCCCCAGGGCTGAGTTAAGTACACCTGTTCTGTAGTCTGAAATGAGTAGCTACATGGTATCATCATCCAGTCCTCTACACTTGGATCCCCCACCAAACTGAGAGCCCCTTGGAAATAGGATGTCTTCTTCATCTTTCCATCGCCAGGGCCTGCCCCGGCCTGGGTCAGTCCACGAATGTGCCTTCTCAGCAGTTTTAGCTTGATGAGTCAACCATCCTTCAGTGGAAAAAGACATCAGCAAAGAGTTATTAGGATGTGGATTTCCCTTTAGTTCCACACATTTATTAAGCACTGAGTATATGCCAAGCAAGGAGCTCTGGTGGTGCAGTGCCTAAGGCATCTGACTGCTAACCAGAAGGTTGGCAGTTGAAACCCACCACCCACTCCATGGAAGGAAGACTGGGCAATCTACTTTTGTTAAGATTTACCACCTTGGAAACCCAAAGGGAGTCACTGTGGGTCGGAATCGACTCCATGGCAGTTAGTTTGGTTTTCAGTTTTGATATGGCAAGCACCAGTGCTACTTATTCAGAAATAAATAAGACATGATATGTGGTCTCACAGGAGCTCTGGTAGCATAGTGCCTAAAGCACTTGACTGCTAACCAGAAGGCTGGCGGTTCAAACCCACCAGCCACTCCTCGGAAGGAAGGTTGGGCAATCCTACTTCCGTAGTGATACTGCCTCGGAAACCCAAGGAGGGGTCTCTGTGAGTTAGGGCTGACTTGACGGCATATAACAACAACAACAGTGTGATCTCAGAGCTCACAGTTTGGCTAGATCAATACCTTATATAGGTGTCTTTGATACTCAGAAAGACCACAGGAGGGAATGATCAATTCTGCCTGAGGTTGTGATCCTGGGGAAGACTGTAGTGAAGGGATCATTTTGGCTGGGTCTTATAAGACTCTGAGGACATCCTTTCCCCAGTGAAGGACAATTGGCTCACAAAGCTAAAATTGCTGAGCAGGCACATTTATGGAGTAGCTACTCTGGGCCAGGTTCAAGATCAGGACCCAGGCATGGAAAGATGAGGAAGACCTGACCCACGAACGGGATGAGAACGATCTTAGAACGCTGGCCCTGCCCCTAATCCTCAGAGCCCTACTCCTTTGCTTTGTCAGCTCCTGCCTCAGCCCATATCTCCATTAGGAGATTTGAGATCAGAGCTACCCAGCTGCCATCTCCAAACAGAAGTTCCCTGTCATCTCCTTCTTAGAGTAGGTCCTTTCAAATCCGACTCCAACAGAAAATGAAATTATTCAGCAGCAGGCAACACCCATATAACTAACAGCCATCCAGGGAGGGGCCATGCCTCTCCATATGAGAGGCTTAAGTGGTCTGAAACACAGTGACCTAGAGCCAGGGTTTAACCCAGTGATGGGTGACTTCAAATGTGTTAAGATGAGGATGTATTTTTACCCCAAGAAAATGTAAAAACTTGGCCCTAACTCTGCAGCATTGAATCCTCTTAAAAAATATTCTGTTCCACATCTGCAGAATAAGCAACAGCAGCCTCTTACCAGAGCCCAAAATGATTACAGTCTCATTGTAGTTGGACCAAGAGACATGCTTAAATTTGGAAAAGTCAACGCTCCTCTTCCCATCAACCCTCCACCTCCTTGGTGATGGTGAGAATCCTTCTTCTGCCTGGGACCTTCGGTTTCTGTTCAAAGCAGGCAATGGAGGGGCCTTACCATGAGTCTTTCTCCCGTTAAACTTTCACATAATCAGAAGTTTTTTCCTGACAGCACCTTACATCTTGAGAACTCAAAACTCACAACCACCAAGTAAGTATCCATTTCCCCTTTGTCCAGATTGGGGGTGGTAGGGGAGCAGAGACAGACATGGTGAAACCAAAGGCAGGTGACACTGAGGAAAGAGTGAACTCTGTGCCCCTCTCCTTCCAGAAATTCCTGGGTGCCAACAACCTGCCTGTCTCTTGCTCATCCTTGCTTCCTCAGAGCCCAGGCTTCCTGATCACACTGCCCTTTCTGTTTGTGATTGAAGGCAAAGGAAGCGGCCAGAATCTGGGAGCATCCGGAAAACATTTCGGAGCGACACCCATGGGCTGAGCAGTTCCCTGACTGACCCCTCCTCCCCGGGGGTAGGGGCTAGCTGCCGCCCATCCTCCCAGCCTATCATGAGCCAGAGTCTCCCCAAGGAAGGGCCAGATAAGTGCTCCATCAGTGGGCATGGGAGCCTCAACTCCATCAGTCGCCACTCATCCCTAAAGAATCGGCTGGACAGTCCACAGATCCGGAAGACAGTGACAGCAGGAAGGTCGAAAAGCTTCAATAACCATCGGCCCATGGACCCAGAGGTCATTGCACAGGTAACTGGGGGCTCCTGGCTGAACACCTAGCATAGGTGTATATATACTTGTCCCTACCACGTAGTACAGCCCATACTGATACCACAGGACTCGGAACAGAATGGTGCCTTATACGTTACAAACTGAGTTCAAGGACTTTTGGACTCCTGGAATTGATAAGGCTGCCTTCCCAGCAATTTGTCTGTTCTCTTCCCAAGAAGAACCTGAAGACAAGATAAAGGAATTCAGGCTTCTTGCTCATACACTGGCTATTTGTAAGACTGTTAGAATTTTTAAAGCCAGTCGTTAACAAATGCAGTACCTTGATAGAGTCCATTAAGATCTTTTAACCCAAGGTTCATGTCTTGAGACCCTGGTAGACTTCAGTGAAACTGCTCAAGGGTGGAGGTTCAGATGTATCCTGGCTACATTTTGGTATCACTCTGCCCATCCCCAGCACCCCATTTCCTGAGGCTGATCTCTGGGCCCCTAATGAGTAGGCAGTCAATTAACAACCTGTTCCTGGTCTTGAAGGCCCAGAAATACTCCACTGATGGGAGACAGCAGAAAGGTTTCCAGCCCAGGCCTCTGCTGCTGTGGAGATGAGCTCCCTGATGACAGGCTCTTCCTTCCATATATGCACCACACTGACAACTCTCTATTTTCCATGAAATATTAGAGATCCAACCCCACCTATAAAAATCCGACTACTGGGGCCACTCCAAGCAGTTCATTCAGACGTCTCTCCCAACTCTATAATTTTCATTAGACCAGGTAGGAACGAAGGGCTCATTGTAGTCCTTATGTCTCAATTGAGTTGAGATTCTCTTCACCCATCTTCCAGGGGACAATAGAGGCTGAGTGTGGTCTCTATTGGCTTTATTGTGGTGCTCTGCTTAAAGGAGGTGTGCCTGGCAAGCACAGTATGAAGCTATGGGGCTGAGATGTCTTGCTTTGCTAGGCTTCCATTTCCGTGGCTCTACTGAAGCTCTTGGCTGCAGTCTGCCTTGCACCGTGAGAATCCTCCCAGCTCCCTCTTTGGCCAGATGCTGATAGCAGTGTCAAAATATACACAACTAGGACAGGCTGTAGATGCAGAGTGGGGCTAGGGAGGGAGGGGAGTTCTTCCTGAGCATTTTTAAGGTTTTAAGAACATTATAAGGATGAGTGAGATTGAATTGGTGTGAACAGAAAGCATGTCTCACTCTGTAGGACAAAGAAACCTTAACCAGGGGTTCTGCAGCATACAGTCTTTCAATGACAGCCTGATTCCAAGAGAGGAGTCTTCTGGTGGTGTAGGGGTGCGAGACACACATTTGTGGGGAGGGAGGGACAAGCTGGGAGGTCTCTCTCAGAAGCAGCTGGCTTGCATACAAAAGTTCTTTGGGCTTCCCTTGAGCACACCTGAGCTAGGACTGCTGTTTCCTCAGATCTAGAGTGTTCCACTGTGACTTAAAGAGGGCAATTCATCTAAGGTGGGTTTTGGCCCCCTCTCTTGCTCACTGTGACCCCCTCTGTCCCATGGTGGTGGATGGAAGGAAAGGGCTTCACCAAGTTAGACACTCTCATGAGTGGATCAGGGCAAGGGACCTGATAAATCTTTGGAGACAGGGTGCTCAAACCTTCCTGCAGCCCTTGAGGAGGAAGAATTGACCCCTTTTGACTTCCAGCCCTTAAGTCCCAGAGAACAAAAGATCGTATTTTATCTCTACTACTTTTCAAAAAATTATTGTTCATTTCGAACATATGCAGAAGTAGAGGCAATTGGACAGTGAGGACCCATGGACTCATTACTCAAGTCCAGGCCACTCTTACTTTTATGTATGTCCCCTCCCACCTTTCTCCTCCCCATTGGATTATATATCATTTTGTCCGTAAATATTTCAGGATGTATCTTTACAACCGGAGAATTCTTTTATAAAAATTACCTCTACTAAGTTTGCTAAGGAGCTCTGGTAGCACAGTGCCTAAGGTACTTGACTGCTAACCAGAAGGCTGGCGGTTCAAACCCACCAGTCACTCCTTGGAAGGAAGGTTGGGCAATCTACTTCCATAGTGATACCGCCTCGGAAACCCAAGGAAGGGTCGCTGTGAGTTGGGTCTGACTCCATGGCATATAACAACAAGTTCGCTAAGGAGCCCTGTTGGCACAGTGGTTAAAGTGCTCAACTGCTAACCGAAAGTTCAGCAGTTTGTAACCTATCAGCCACTCTCTGGAGAAACGACCTGGTGACCTGCTCTGTAAAGATTACAGCCTTGAATAGGGCAGTTCTGCTCTGTCACTATGAGTTAGAACGGACTCAGTGGCACATAGCAACACTATTCTTAAAAAAAAAAATTAATGACAATGAAAATCCCTTTGTCTCCCCACCCCCTACATTCCATACATTTAGTATGTTCAAGGACTTTGACCAACTAAAATAATCTAGGCATCTCCTTGTAGTTGGTTTCTTCATGATTTGGCCTAAGTTGTTGAAACAGGGTCCTTGGAGACTCCCCTCTGCACTGGCCTCACCTCCTTTTTCCTGTGTTGCAGGATATTGAGGCAACTATGAACTCTGCCCTGAATGAGCTGCGGGAGCTAGAGCGGCAGAGCAATGTCAAGCACACACCTGACGTGGTTCTGGACACCTTGGAGCCCCTCAAAACGTCCCCAGTGGTAGCTCCCACATCAGAGCCCTCCAGCCCCCTGCACACCCAGCTCCTCAAGGACCCTGAGCCTGCCTTCCAGCGCAGCGCGAGCACTGCTGGGGACATCGCCTGCGCCTTCCGGCCTGTCAAGTCTGTCAAGATGGCTGCCCCGGTCAAACCGCCAGCCACCCGACCCAAGCCCACTGTCTTCCCCAAAACAAATGCCACTAGCCCTGCTGTCAACTCATCAGCTTCCCCACAGTCCACTGACAAGTCTTGTACTGTCTGATAGATATAATTTAATTGTTCTAGACAAGGGGACTGTAGGGACTGAAGACTGTTATTAAAATCTTCCTATTTAACTAGCTTGGGGACTTCAGTTGAAATTTAGCTTCTAAGTTGTTCTTGCAGGAATTAGCCTTCCCATCACCCAAAACCTTGAGAATGATGCCCTTGTTAACGCCCTTCCCTTCCTTTCCCATCCCACTGCCCTCTGCTTCCCCCAGTTGTTGTAGTGCAGCCAGCTGCAGTACATACCATTCTTAGGTTAGCCAGAGATAGATTTTTTCATTATCAGGTCACTGTGAAATCTGGCAAGGCAAGCCATGAAGATGTAGGCTCACTCCTCATTCCCCTCAAGCCACAGGGGATGCCGTGACCAGATGACTGGCTGTTAACATCCTACTCTCAGTGGCATCTTGTTTTGGGTACTGATTATAGAGAATCATAAATAGTCCATTTTTTTGTTTTGCGCACACATGCACACACACATACACTAGTAGGTTTTTCTAGTCTCTGGCATGTAGAACTTCTCCTGGTCCTAGATCTGTCTCTCTGTAAGTTATTGTGGCAGTTCACACAGGAGCCACCAGGGGTCTCTGTTTCCGTTAAAACCCTTGTTCTGTCTGGGCCAGAGAACCTAGCCTTTGAAACTCACTATCATGTGAAGTTCAGCAGGATGGGACTCAATCCTGTATTTGTTTGGGGCTGGGGACTTTCTCTCTGTCTTCTTTCTATTGATGTGAATTGGTCATTAGTGTTTGCTTTTGCTCTTCTCCATTCTCTAGAAGTACAACCCAATCTTATTAAGGAGTTTCTAAAGTTTTTCTGAATGTATAGACATTTCTCGGGTTCCTATCTTTGTCTCCGATGGACCATTTTCCATTTAAGACATTTTCCTGTATAAGACAGTTTTATAGCCGGTTCCTTTTAGGGTAAAGAGTCTTAAGGGAGTTTTATTATATTTATGGCAGGTTTGAAAAAGGTAAGAAATGGGTCCTCCTCCTTCCTACATTTTTAGGCGCTTAAAACATAAAATTCATTATCCTATATATATTTGAAAAAAAAAAAAATTAGCTTTGCTAACCCAAAAATTGTCCCCAGTAAAAATTCATTCTCAATTTACCCCTTTGTTTGGTTATTATACAAGATCTCTCTTAGGGACCAACAGGGGCTTAGAGAGCCAGTTTGATTAAAGAGAGAGACACTACCCCTGCCACACAAGAACAACTAAGGGAATTGTGATCCCAGAGCTCTAAGTCTTCCTAAGGCCAGAATCTGAAGTAAATAAAATATTGGTTGCTGTATATTTTGGCCTTCCTTTGGCCTTTTTTCTGATTCCCCTCCCAAAGGCAAAAATGATACCCTTATCTGCTGTGATCCAGTGTCCACACCTGGTGACCACCAGACCCTCTCCTCTCCCATGGTCTGCCAGGAGGACCAGGGCTGGAGACATTCATCCCAGGCTTACAGGTCTCAGACAGCTACTTGAGCTAAGGCTGAAACTCATTCCTCTTAACGTTTTCTGGTTCAAAAGTTGTGCTTTAAGCTTTATTATTTTCAGAAGTGATGGTGGGTTGCCATTAGGGAAGGAAATCTAAATTTTCTTATCTTTGGCCTGGAAATCTTTTTTGGACCAACATTTTGAAGTTGGTAGCTGGATCTGTGGAAGTTGGTGGATGTTCCATTCTGTGTGAAGGAAATGAGGAGGGGGAAGAAAAAAATCACTAATTAGAAGAATATTCTAGAACACCAGGGGACCCATTCCAAGATAAGAGCTAAAAAGGAGAACTAAAGACTTCCTGTAGTAAAATGAGTCAGTCTGTAAGAGGCAACTCACAGTCCTTTGAATTCTTGGGTTTTGTTGCTCTTTAGTGGCCTACCCTGCTCTCTCACCTGGTCTTACATAGGTCTTGAGCCAGCAGGGGACTTTCATATTCAAGGATCTGTTTCCTTGGTCAGAAATGAAACCTGATCCTTCACTTTACATTCCTCCTAATCCAGCTGATCCAATTAGTACCCATACTTGCCCTGTCCCCTCTCCCCAGCACACTCACCTCTTAAGAAAGTAAAAGCAAAGCTTTCTTCATGACAAAGTTTTGGACCTATTCTGTTGCTTCCTGCCTTATTTCTGTTTCATCCTCATACATGATTTGTGTTCACCGTCCCTTTGGTCAGTGTCCATCTGCTGATTTGCATCATGAACTGAACAGTGTGTGAGTGGTCACCTACTAAACCAAGTCTTAGCTCTCAGCCGTGGGAGCCAAGTTGTCTTCCCCATCTCTGGTGCTCTTGACACCTGTGAGATGGTCCTGTCGAGAGGACTAGGGACCCATCGGAAGAGAGTCCTTCTCGGCAGAGCTCATTGCAATCAACTGGAATTGAGGTTGCACACTGTGATTTTACACCGAAAAGCCAAAAGGAGCCGGCCCTCCAGGGCCTAGGGAGACCAGTCTTCCTCAGTTATGTCTGCCTACACCAGCGTGATGCATCAAAGAGCCCTGCTCTGCCCCTTGTGGCAAGGATCCTCTTCCTGGTGTGAACTCTGAAGGGTTGGTCTTTGGGAGAGAGAGGTGGGGTGGGGCTCTCAGCATCCCAATTTGGAAAACAGAGGAGTTTGCAGCCAGCAGCCTGTAAACTGGAAACACTGGTCTCAGCCAACCTCCTCAGGGCGCCCTGGTTTCTCCCCAAGAAGAGGAGAGATGACACCAGCAACAAGATGCACAGACCACTGGAAGGGCTGGTGTGTATGTACTTCACATTCAGAAGAGAAATTAGATCTTCCAGGGAATTGCAATGTTGTGGCGTCTGACTTGTATGTCACGTTTGTGTAAAATGGTATATTCTTTAAAATAGTGTTGATAACTGGAATATTGTATGTATGCTTGGAGATGCTTTGTATGAACCTAAGACTGTCACTCAAAAGATGTTGGATTGGGGAAAATCCAAAGCACAACTTCAAAATAAAATACATTTTTAGGTTTCAGTGCTGAAGTTCATATCCCTGACCCTCTCCCTGAGATCTGAGCCAGGAGCCCAGCTGCCTAGGAGGAATTTTGATTGGTCCACTCTAACGGAACCATGCCTGACAACAGAAGGAGAAGTGGTGTGACTGCAGGAGCCAACGACCTTCTCCCTCCCCGACCAAAAGAGAGTTGCATGGAGAAATTGGATCCCCGCCCCCAGCATTTCTATTTAGCCAGTGCATGGAACCTGTGGTTTTTAGGAGTCTCCCTGCTCCCCATTGGGCAGTCTGTTACCATGAGAACCGTTTCCCTCACAGAATCTACCTTCCCTGTTTTCAATGAGGCCTGTTCTCTTTTCTATCACTAGTCCTATTCCCCACTTGGAGAATAAGGGCCTAAGAAGTTCCTTGGAAGCTTGGCCAGCTACAACCAAGGGTGACTGGAGGTTTTGTTTCCACAACCAAAGCCCTGAGTCGTCCTGTCCTTGGCAGCCCCCTGCCTCTGGGAGAAGAGCTGACCAGTATGCTTGTCCTCTTGGTGTTAAGTTGTTCAAGTACCCTATAGAGGTTGTAGGGGGAGGGGAAATACAGGAAATGCTTTCGCTCCTTTAGATTTTGATTCCAGCAAAGCCTAAGTTCAGGGGGCAAACATTCAAAGAGGACAACTTAAAATGCATCCCAAAGCTCTCTGGGGCCCACAGTTATTTTCAGTGGATTTATTCTAATCCACAAGCCCCAGAAGATGGATCAAATCTCCTTCATCCAAGGGAGTGCCCACTGCAGTTGATCAATGGTTATATGTGAGATCTTATTCCCAGGCCTAGACTGGACACTTTATACCTTCTGCTTAGGTTTGTCACCTGCATTTGTGATTTGTATCGTTTATCCAGCCGTCTCGTGCCCTTCCAACTTGTCATCTCTTCACCACTGTTTTAGTGGTATAGCTACATCCTGGGGAGCTCTGGTGACGTAGTGCTAAGACATTTGACTGCTAACCAGAAGACTGGCAGTTGAAACCCACCAGCCGCCCCTCAGAAAGAAGGTTGGGCAATCTACTTCCATAGAGATACCGCCTCAGAAACCAAGGAGGGGTCACTGTAAGTCAGGATTGACTCCACGGCAGTGAGTTTGGTTTTTTTGGTTTAGCTACATCCTGAGGGTGTAGCTTCTTTTGCTGGACCCTTGGCCTTGGGTAAGTCAAAGCTGAGGCTCTTCTGCCACCCTGTGGAATGTGTGAGTTCACACTGCCTGACAAGGAGAGGGGGGATGGCCAGTAGCTGTGAGATGGGGGCAGTTCTTACGCTGTGAACAGAGAATCAAAGCCTTTTCAGAGTACCCTAAGAATAGACGGCATGTTCTTTTGGGGGCCTCTTAATTCATGTCCTCTATTTTGATGGAAACTAGTAACAAAGGAAAAAACAAAACTAGTTGCCCTTGAGTCGATTCCAACTCAGTGACCTCATTTGTGTCAGAGAAGAACCGTGCTCCATAGGGTTTTCAGTGGCTGAATTTTCAGAAGTAGACCACCGAGGCTTTCCTCAGAGGTTCCTCTAAATGGACTCAAACCACTAACCTTTCAGTCAGCAGCAGGCACATTGAACGTTTTCACCACCCAGAGACTCCCAATTGGCAGTGAGTGCAGTCAAAACATAGGCCCAGTCCATCTAAATAGAAACCATAAAAGGATGGGTGTGAGCTTCAGGAACGGTCTTTAAGATTATCTAAATGTTTATATCCATAGGTATATGAGGTTTTCTTTTACTCAGAAGTTAGCAACCTTGCCATTTTACATATTCCAAAGAGTCATTCATTTAGTCAGTCAACAAATATTAAGCCTTACTCTGTGCCAGGCTAGGCGCACTGGTGGTGTAGTGCCTAAGGCATTTGATTGCTAATCAAGAAGGCTGGTGGTTCAAACCCATTGAATTCCAAGCATTCCTTGGAAGGAAAGCTGGGCAATCTACTTCCGTAGAGATACCACCTCAGAAACCAAGGTGGGGTGGCTATGAGTTGGGATCAACTCAATGGCAGTGAGTTTGGGTTTTGGTTTTTGGTTCTGTGCCAGACACTGTCATACAGTATTGAGCAGGAGAACCTGGTCATGGAGCTTTCATTCTAACCATTCTACATACGAGAAAGACAGATAAGTAAAATAATGGCACTCTCCAAATGAAACAGGGTAGTAAGATAGCTCCATGTTGGTCAAGAAAGGCTGTTATGGGGGAAGAATGTTGCTTGGGCTGATAAAAGTTGAGATGTTTTTCAGACATCCACATGGAAATATCAAGTACACTTTTAGATGTATGAATCTGGAAATTTAGGGAAAGATCATACCTGAAAACAAATTTAGGAGCTATTACATTATAATATATTCCAACTATGAAATTCATGAGAAGATGGAAAAAAGAGAAGGTACCAACAATTAGAGATCCAGTAGAGGAGAAGGAGCCAGCAAAGAAGACAGGAAGAATGTGGCAGGGAGATAGCTGAGTTGGAAGGCACAGTATCCAAGAGAAGGCAGTGTTTCAACAAGGAGGGAAAGATTTAACTATTGGCTAGGAGCTCTCGTGGCATAGTGCCTAAGGCATTTGACTGCTAACCAGAAGGCTGGAGGTTCAAACCCACGAGCCACTCCTCAGAAGGAAGGTTGGGCAATCTACTTCCGTAGTGATATTGCCTCAGAAACCCAAGGAGGGGTCACTAGGAGTCAGATCCAACTCCAGGGCAGTGAGTTTTGTTTGGTTTACCAGTGTGATAAGATGAGGCTCCTATAGAAAAGTAATTGGTGATTTGGACAAGGGCACTGGCAGTGGAGGGGAAATTAGTCTGATCAGAGTAGGGTGGGCAGCAAATAGGAAGAGAAGAAGGGAGTCTCTGATTAGTGTCAACTGATTCAAGTGTTGTTTGAGGGGGGAACAGCCAGAGGGGTCAAGGGAACAGGTTTTGGTTTTGTTTTCAAGAGGGACAGTGATGAGACATGGGAAGGATCCAGTAGAATGGGGAGAAGGAACTTGCTGGAGAGGGAGTAGAAGGTGTGGCCATGGCTAGGAGAAAAGGCACTTCCTCCAGCCTCATGGTAGAGAAGGCAGGTGTGAGTACAGATGTGAAGCAAGCAATTGATGAGGGGGTGGGGAGATGAGGAAGTTCCCATTCAATTGCTCCTTTCTTTGTCTGTGAAGTTTAAGAGAAGATTTTTAGCTGAGAGTGTGGGAGAGAATGGTGTGTAGGAGGTTTGAAGAGTCAGAAGAGTGAGGAAAGACTGTGAGGTGGCACATGGACCAATTTCCAGGCAAAATGGCCTGGATGCTGCTCCCATAGGGAGCAGCTTTAGGTCTGGGTGGAGTATTTGTTCCCTTCCCTCCAAAGCTACTGACTAGAGCTGACTCCTGAAGGTGGCAAGGAGCCACCTGTGACCTCCTCATTCAGCCCTTCCATAGTAATACCGCCTCAGAAACCCAAGGAGGGGTCGCTCTGAGTTGTGGCCAACTCCATGGCACATAACAACAACAACAACATTGTGACTGAATGCAGCAAGGACACACTTGTTTCTGCAATGCCCCACATACACACACACACACACAAAACTTCTCCCTAACCCTTCCCCTTTAGGGCACTAGGAGGTGAGTCAGCTGTGAGAAATAGGCTTAGGCCACAGAGGGACAGAAAAAGCAACCAATGTTTATTCAGAGCCCACCAAGTACCAGGCACTTCCTCTCATTTTGCTTCACACTCACCCCATGTGATGGGTACTATTGTCATCTTGAGACTTAGGCTTAAATGACTTGCTGTAGATGGCACAAAACGGTAGAGTCAGGACTCAAACCCACGCTTCCACAGTGATGAAGGCTCTACCCTTCCCACTATATCACTTGACCTCCCTTTGTAGAAGGCAAACCTGAGATTTTTCCTGAGAGCGGCTGTCAAGGATCCCCCTCTTCCTACCTCGGTCCTTATATACTGCCTTTGAATTCCCACTCATCTTTCTATGACTCCTCAGAGGCACTCAGGAAGATGTGGTGAGATCTTTTACAGACTCTTCCCTCAGGAGCCCGTCAGACCCCTCCCCCTCCCCAAATGAAACACTGGCCATGCTGTCCGGTTGAGTCCCAGCAGCTCAGAACCACAGACTAGACATTTCATTCATTTTGTCCAAACTGACCTCATAGAGGATGCCCAGGGAAACTTAATCTGTCCCTGCACACAGCTCCAGCCCGCCTTCTGTCTCTTCTTCTCTGGGCTTCACATGTGTCACCCTGAACAAGCCACACTCTTTTCATGCTTCTGTGCTTCTGCACCTGTTCCCACTACCTGGAATGCCTCACCTCCAAACCCCATCTTCTCTGCCTAATTTTCCTTCCAAAGTCTGGCCAAGCAGCCCTTCCTCTGCTAAGCCCTTCTTGATCACCCCACACTGCCCTTCACCAGGTTTACAAAATCACCATCTGCTGAAGTATCTATACCAAGATCTTCTCTTAAGTATCTATACCATATCTATACCATATCTGTAGATGCTTAGGTCTCCTTTGTGTTTGATTCATAATAGCTACTAGACACACGTTCATTGCATTTGAAGGTGCAAAAGACACTGGGAGAGATTTGGGCTTGCGAGGGAGAAGAACATAGGGGTACTGGTGAGGACTGAGCAGGTTCATTAGAGGAAAATGGGGGAGGCGGGGCAAGATGGC